CCCCCCCCAAAAAGGCAAAAACCCGGAGGGTAACCCAATGCCAAGACACTAGTGTTTAAATATGTTTTTGTTGCATACATAGATTGTTTTCAATTCATAAGCATGACAACATTCTTATACACCAACCTTAGTTTATTATTTTAATACGCTAATTGAAATGACGTCAAGTTGACTTTCTGGTTCCCTTTCAGCCCTCCTGTTCCTCAAGGGTGTCTATCTCCCTACAAGGGGTCTTCCTCGGTCCCTGGGAAGGTTTGACTTGGGATCAAATACCTGCGTTCTCTAGCGCTGCGATCGGAAATACTAATGGGGAAGTCAGGCGCTAAGCCCTGAGGGTTTCTTATCTCCCTGCATTAATTCACCACCGAGAAGGGGGAACCAGGGAAGGTCGCCTGACCCCGCACGCTGGACCCTGTCCGATTTGGCTCTGGTCACTTTGATCTCGCGCGTCTGCCTAATCAAGTTCATCTACTGCCGCGACCGCTCAGATTCAAAGAACAACGTTAAATAGTTTGATTATCGGATGGTCATTTCCCTCTTGCCTCCACCTCTGATCTAATTTCCAAACGCTAGTCTCTCGCCTCCCTCTCTAAACTTCCCATCAAAAGAGAATTAGTTCTTCCTTCTTACCCTCGTTTGAAGTGCAAATTTCCTTCTCTTTGCACAATTTTCTCTTGGTGACAGGGAAAGGGCGGGGAGGCAATTGGACGAGTTTAACGCCGAGCGCCTCACCCAGATCTGCGAACCGCGACTCTAAAGGGTGAGCCTGCAGCTCGCACCCGCCACCTGGCCCTCTGGCAGGGACATTTCGCTAGAGCCTTTGAATTACTGATCGGGTTGTATTTAATACTGAATATTTATTCACGTGAACGATAAACGAGTATCGGCGTAAGGGAGAGGGGCGAAAAGTGGTTTTGCAAAGAGTTATCACCATTGGGCTCGGAAAAGTGTTTCAGACCCGGATAATGCAAGCCCTCCCTGCAAGGCAAGGTCGCCGGGTTCCCGGGGTTGCTCCTGCCGCCTGCATTTATTAAAATCGTCTGCTCTAGTACTCACTGATGACCGCCACCCCGAAGGTGAGCTAGGCCAGCGGGACGATCGCGCAAGGGAGGGTCAAAGGCCCCCCTCCATGTACACAAACACACCCCCTCCCAGCCCCTCCCAACGCTTTGAAATCCCACCCCGGCTTTGTTGTCTCCCCCCGAGGGGCCGGAGTGCTCAGAGCCCGCAGTATAAAGGCAACCGCGGTGGCGGTGGCGGCGCAGAGCTCCGTGCGCCCCGCAGTCAGGACCCTGGGAGCGCGCGAGGCTCCCGGGACCCGGACGGTGCAGCCGCGCCGACGCGGTTTCGCTGGGCGCCAGGCTGGCAGAGGGACGGTTCCTCCTTTCTCTTTCTTTCTCCTTCTCGAGTCCTTCTGAGATGAGGGCTCTGGGCTCAGCGGGAGCTGCCCGGGTCTTGGTCGCCTTGGTAGCGGCGGCTCTTTGCGGTGCCCCTCCGCCTGGAGTCACCGCCACCTTGAACTCGGTTCTCGTCAATTCCAACGCGATCAAGAACCTGCCCCCACCGCTGGGCGGCGCTGCCGGGCACCCAGGCTCCGCAGTCAGCGCCGCGCCGGGGATTCCGTACGAGGGCGGGAACAAGTACCAGACCCTTGACAACTACCAGGTGAGGGGGGTCGCGGGGATCCGGGGTCGCTGTGACCCTGAAGGAGTTCCATTTGCAGAGCAGGGCGTAGAACGTGCTGGGTGTGTGTGTGGCTCAGGGCGCATTTGGAAACGCTGCCTTTGGGAACAGTGGGCTGCGACAGCTTTTGGCGAGGCGGACGGAGAGGGATTGTGATGAGCGTCCGGATCCAGGAGCCTGGCTACCCGGACGCCCGGGCTCCTCACCCTCTCCCGCCCCCTTCCCGCAGCCGTACCCGTGCGCTGAGGACGAGGAGTGTGGCACGGATGAGTACTGCGCCAGTCCCACCCGCGGAGGGGGCGCGGCCGTGCAAATCTGTCTCGCCTGCAGGAAGCGCCGAAAACGCTGCATGCGTCACGCTATGTGCTGCCCCGGGAATTACTGCAAAAACGGTGAGTCCCGTAGCTCCCTTTCGGTCTCGAACCGTCCTGCCTTTGAGCGCCTCCGGATGGAAGAACCAGCCCTGGGATCGGCGGACGCTGCGGCGCCACCTGCAAATGGGCGCCTGGCATGCAGAGTGCCCCTGAAATATGCATCTTCATTGCCAAGGTTTAATCTGGGAGGGGAGAGAAGTGCAGAGGTCTCGGAGCTTCTTACATACTTCCTCTGTGTCCCTCAATGATTTAACACGACGGCTTACCTCACAGCGGACCCTTCCATAACAATTTGTCAGGGCAGAGCTTTGAGGTCAGTTGAGAAGGGTGGGGAGGGAGGTGGGATCTTACAGAGAGACCAGGGACACCTGCCTTGGCATTTAGCTGCCTTTTCCATTTTTCTTACAGTGACTTTTGTGGCTCTGCCAGACTGGCCTCCCCCTCATGATCCCTGTTGAAGCTGTTGTCAGCCAGAGGACAGAGTGATTTATCTGCTGGCCATTTTCAAGGGAGATCTTGATAATCCTTGCACCCGGGACTGTCCATTTTTCCCCTCCCATCCTCCCCGCCCCCTCCACCCTCTACCTTAAAATAACTACTCCTCCCCCCAACCACAGATCCACTAAAATGTAATTTCTCAAAGAAGTCGTCTCAGACAGCCAAAGAGGTCTCCAGAAATAAACTAACAGGGTGGCGACCCTCCTTGGGACCCAGCAGTTCTCCAGGATGAACTAACTAAATCTCTGTAATATCGAAATTATACAGTAAAGTAACTGGTGGGTGAGATTGTAATCTTCCAGGCATCTAGAATTGCATTTTCTTAATTTAGTCTGGTAGTACCCATATAGCACCAAAGGCAGAGAAGTTATTTTTAAGCACAATTTTTTAAGTGACTGATTTTCCTTTTCTTATCCCAAGGGTGATATTAAAATGGGCAGAAATCTCACTTGCTACTACCACAGATGGTGAGAGAGTATTTTAAATGGCTATACTGGGAATGTTGCATATGACCGTACAGTGTACACATTGGTGCTTCTGTCTATCTGGGGAGTTTTGCATAAACACTAGGGAGGAGGTTTGTATTGTGTTTAAAATAATGTCACTGCAATGAGGTGTCTCAAGTTGGTAGGGGCATAACAGACTGCCTCCATCACAGCTGTTAGCAGTAATGCATTATGACTGGGGAGTTAATCACTATTTTCTGCTTCCTTAGGAATATGTATGCCTTCTGATCACAACCATTTCCATCGGGGAGAAATGGAAGAAACCATCATTGAAAGTTTTGGTAACGATCACAGCACCTTGGATGGGTACTCGAGAAGAACCACACTGTCTTCAAAAATGTATCACACCAAAGGTAAGTTAAAGGACCTTAAGGTTCATCCTTCTTTGTCAGCACATCAGCAGTGTCCTTTGAGTTATCTAAATGAAATGATTCAGGCTTAGCAGTAACCATGTACCTTTCCTACTGTTTCCTTCTTTGTAGGACAAGAAGGTTCTGTCTGTCTCCGATCATCAGACTGTGCCACAGGGTTGTGTTGTGCTAGACACTTCTGGTCCAAGATCTGTAAACCTGTCCTCAAAGAAGGTCAAGTGTGCACCAAGCACAGGAGAAAAGGCTCCCACGGGCTGGAGATATTCCAGCGTTGTTACTGTGGAGAAGGTCTGTCTTGCCGGATACAGAAAGATCACCACCAAGCCAGTAATTCTTCTAGGCTTCACACCTGTCAGAGACATTAAACCAGCTGTGCAAATACAGTGGACTCCTTTTATATTATATATGCTATGAAAACCTTTTATAACTTTTGTGAGTTCAATCGTAAGGATGTACAAATTCTTTGGTTACATTTAAGCATTCCAATAATACCTTCCGAAAATCTGGAGTGTAAGAGCTTTGTTTCTTTATGGAACTCCCCTGTGATTGCAGTAAATTACTGTGTTGTAAATTCTCAGTGTGGCACTTACCTGAAAATACAACAAAACTTTTAATTATTTTTCTAAAGGTGCTGCATTGTCTACTGTTTCTCTTGTTATGTAAATTGTTGTACACATTGATTGTTATCTTGACTCTGATAAATATTCTATATTGAACTGAAGTAAATAATTTCAGCTCAGAGTTCCTAAATGCATAACCCTTTATCCTTTTAATTCTAGAGTCTAGAATTCAAGGAGCTCTTGGAATGACAAATGATAGGTATCTAAAAGCTTACATGAGAATATTAGCTTATTTTCTGAAATGTACTATCTCAATGCTTAGATTATATTTTTCTCTAGGCCGTGATAGTCCTTTAAATAAAATTTAACATTTAATATCATGAAATGTTACAAGTATAGATAAATTTTGGGATTGTGATCTTAGAGGGGTGTGTGTATGTGCGTGTATGTGTGTGTGTGTGTGTGTGTGTGTGTTCTACAGGAACAGATATGTGACATGTTTAAAGAAGACCAAAGAAAAGATATTGTCTAAATGTATGACAATATCGATCAATTCTAGAGTAACTTTAAATAAAAATGTGTTCTCTATTGATAAAGTCAAATGATCATGGTAGTATGAGGTTGAATCTTGCATTAATAGTTTCAAAATTAGTGTTCAATAAATTAATATCTACCTAAATGGTCAATACCTATTGGACAGAGAAGGAAATTGTTCACAAAGGTAATACCAAAGTACTTGGTGGTTGGCAGAAAGAGAATGTATATGTAGAAATACGTTTAACAAAGACATGCAGATTTTGTACCAAATAAGTTAATTTGAAGTATCTTAAGTACTACTACATGCAAGCAAGACTTGTTCCAGTTACTTTGATTTTAAAATAATTATTAAATAAAAATCATCAATCCTTCCTCATTCCTCTCTTTTCTTCTCTTGCTGAGTTGAAAGTTTCAATTTTTGCTTGACCTGAGATCTATTGATTGGAATGAGGCTAGGGATATACTTTTAAACGAAAACCCACAGAAATGAAATCTAAACTGTCTTTGCATTTTTAGTTGCAGATTTGGTATTGTATATACTGGGTAAAGGGGAAAGAAACCTCTCCAATTTATACTTATTCTTTAGTATTCTCAAGTCTACATCAAAACCATAAAATGCTGGGTTTAAGGCATTTGAAGGATAAGAGTGATTGATCGATTGTCCAAAAAGATTCCTTAAATAATGTCCTAGAATCTTTGCTGCTTTTGTGTTCCTGGAAGTTGTTCAATTTCAAGAGGCTCAGCCAAGGGGACCCAAGCTTTGGTTAGCTCCTCACTGAGAGGGGAACTGGCAGGATGTCTGCTGTCACGTTCCTTTTGTCTTGGAAGTCTCAGCTTCCTCACCCAAAAGAAATTTTCTTTTTCTACATATGCTTGTTGTCTGATGTGTCTTCTCCAATAAAGCACAATAGAGGAAAGGAAACAGGAAACCCTTTCTTCAGAAAAAAAAGAAAGAAGAGCCTTCGATTTGAGGAGAAAGGAGCAAACACATAAAGGCTCCTGGTTATTGGATCCCTTCCTCTCTACAGGAACGGA